CCACTGCTATTGAGTCTAGCGACCCCCACAGGGTTTCCAAAGAGGCTGTAAATCGTTACAGAAGTAGAGTGCCTCATCTTCATCCTACAGAGCCAAGGGTGGGTTTGAACTGCCAACCTTCTGGGTAGCAGCCAAATGCCTTACACACTGCACCACCAGAGCTCCTTAAGGGAACCACCAGTAAGGTTAAATAATGACAATTCTTTGTGAATGAGATTGTTTTGCTCATCCTAATACCAAGAAAAAAAAAAATCAAACAGCATCCCCTCCTTGGGAATTCGAGGTGGTATCACTACAGGAGTATGGGCTGTTATTTTCCAAGGCTACTGCTGATCTGAGCTGTGGTGGTACAGTGTTTAAGCACTCAGTGCTAACCTAAAGTTCGGTGGTTTGAACCCACCAGCCGCTGGGTGGGACTAAGATGAGGCAGTCACCTTCCGTGAAGATGACAGCCTTGGAAACCCTGTGAGGCAGTTCCACTCTGTCCTCTAGGGGCGCTGTGCGTCGGAATCGACTTTGCAACAGTGGGTGTGGTTGGGCTTTGCTTCCATGAAGATTGTTGTTGTTCTTATGTGCCGTGGAGTCGGACCCGACCATAGCGACCCCTCCTTGGGTTTCCGAGGCAGTATCACTACGGAAGTAGATTGCCCCATCTTCCTTCCGAAGATTACAGCCTGGGAAACCCCACGGGGCAGTTCCACTCTGGCCTATAGGGTCGCTAAGAGCAGGAATCCCTTGACAGCAGCAGGTTTAGGTGTTGGTTTTAATGCTGAACTGGAGGACAGGGATGGCACCAAGGAGAGCTTGCTGTTCTGGCCAACGTTTTTCTTAATACACACTTCCCCAGATGCTGCAAGCAGTTAATTATTTTCCAGAGTTCTAAAAAAAATTTACTCCATTGCTTTTATGGGGGGGGGGGGACTTTTCTGAGGTCCTTACTCCTCTATTTTCGCTAACTACGAAAGTAGTTTTCTTGAGACCTTGATCGTTCTGCTGGTGGCTCCGGCATAGTATGTGCATTAAAAATAACGGAGCAGAGGGCAGGTCATCAGCCCGGAGAGGGGCTCAGCTGCCCCAGGTCGTGCGCCAGGCACACACCTGCGCCGCCGCCTGCTCCTGGGGCCAAGGCCTTGCCTGTGGCTACCGCGGGAGGTCAGGGATCGGACATAAGCCCCTTCCCCAACCTCCTCCCGCTGTGCTGCCCTGGGCAGGTCTCCGTTTCTCACTCTGAGGCTCTGCCCTCGGCTGCAACATAGGGGGCAGGACACATCGCGGATTCAGGACTGCGGGTTTCCACCCTGAAGGGGCGTTGTCACGGCAATGGAGAGACGCTTCGGGCTCCGTGTCTGTTTCCAGGACGCCCAGAGAAGCGCGTAGAGGAAGTGCGGACAGAGCCCGCGCGCGCTCCATCCCGGGAGGCCCCGCCCAGCCCCGGGCTCCCAGACTCTCGCGACAGCAGAGCTCGCGTGGCGCCGCAGGGGCCGACGGGAGCGGCGGCCGCTCTGAGAAAGGCCAAGATGGCGGCTGCGGCGGCTGCGGTTCGCGGGGCTGTGCTGCGTCCGCGGGGCGCAGGGCTCCCGGGCGGACGGGCCGGGGGACTGCTGTGCGGTGCGCGGCCCGGGCAGCTCCCGCTGCGGACACCTCAGGTTAGCGCTCGGCCGGATTCGGCCTGGCGCGCGGCCCCGCAGCCCCGTGAAGGTCACGGCGGGGAGGCTCCGGGCGCGGGCTGGGGCAGCGGGGAAGCGGTCTCAGCGCCCCAGCGACCCGCCCGGGTCGGGCCCTAGGGATGCCTCCCGACCCTGGGCGCGCGGGAGCCGGGTCGAGCGCCCACTTCTCCCGGCAGCAGGGTCGCTGCTCCGCGGGTTGGGGGCGGCAGGGCGGGCTCACTGCCGAGTGGGACCGTGGGCAACGCTCGGAGCAGCGCCGCGCGGGCTCCCGCCTCCGCGGTCCAAGCTCAGCCCACGGCCAGGAGTGATCGCTGCTGACCTCGGCCGACTGCTCGTGACCTTGGCCGGCCCCGGCTCTCCTGATCGCTGCCACCTGAGCCCGGACCCTCGGCCCCAGAGCACGCCCCACTCTCGCTCCTCGGGGCCGAGCCGGTCGAGGGGGCTGCGGCGCTGTGGGTGGACGGGCAGCGGGGAAGGAGGTACCCAGTGCCCGGTGCTTGAGAGGAGTTCCTGGGCGCCGAGAGTCCGATCCGCAGGTGGGGCTGGGCCGTGTTCTGGCAGGCGCTGAGCGGGGCTCTTGCAGGCAGTGTTCTTGTCGTCGAAGCCTGGCCTGTCCCGGGGCCGGAAGGTGGTGCTGTCAGCGCTGGGCATGCTGGCGGCAGGGGGTGCAGGGCTGGCCGTGGCTCTGCATTCCGCGGTCAGTGCCAGTGACCTGGAGCTGCACCCCCCCAGCTACCCCTGGTCTCACCGTGGCCTCCTCTCCTCCCTGGACCACACCAGGTGTGTGGCTGCCGGGGGTCCTTTTGGGCGGACTGGGCGGGCTGGAATCCTTGCGCCCCTAACCCTTTCTCTCTCATCAGCATACGGAGGGGTTTCCAGGTATATAAGCAGGTGTGCTCCTCCTGCCACAGCATGGACTACATCGCCTACCGCCACCTCGTGGGTGTGTGCTACACGGAGGAGGAAGCCAAGGCGCTGGCCGAGGAGGTGTGGAGCTCGGGCTGCGGGTGACCTGGGCTTGGAGTGCCCACTGTGGTGTACGGTGGGGCCGTGACGGGGCATCTCGCTGGCAGGTGGAGGTGCAGGATGGCCCCAATGAGGATGGGGAGATGTTTATGCGGCCTGGGAAGCTGTCCGACTACTTCCCCAAACCATACCCCAACCCTGAGGCTGCCCGAGCTGCTAACAATGGGGCTTTGCCCCCAGACCTCAGTTACATCGTGCGAGCTAGGTACACAGGTACCCACGGCTGGTACTGGGGGAGGGTGAGAAGGGACTGATGTGTGTGGGGCTGACGCACCACGGATCTGGTCCCAGGCATGGCGGCGAGGACTATGTCTTCTCCCTGCTAACGAGCTACTGTGAGCCACCCACCGGGGTGTCGCTGCGGGAAGGCCTCTACTTCAACCCCTACTTCCCTGGCCAGGCCATTGCCATGGCGCCCCCCATCTACAATGAAGTGCTGGAGTTCGATGATGGTGAGAGGCCTCAACCCAGGGGGTAGCATGCAGGGTCCAGCCTTCCCCACCTCCAAGGGTGCGTCCCTATAGCCCTGAACAACTAAGGGTTAGCCCTCTCTTTGGCTGGGTTCTGCCTGCATATCTGAAGGGACTCCCAGGCAACCCTCACAGCCCTTTCTCCAGCGCAGGTCTGTGTCCTGGTGGGTCCCATTCTGTGGGACCCTGGCAGGGGCTGTCTTTGCTCTGCAGGGAGGGATGTGCTGAGGCTGCCTCAGGTTAGGCAGGGTCCCCAAAGATAGCCCTCACCAACTTTCCTCGGCCCAGGCACCCCGGCTACCATGTCCCAAGTGGCAAAGGATGTGTCCACCTTCCTGCGCTGGGCATCGGAGCCAGAACACGACCATCGCAAGCGTATGGGGCTCAAGGTGAGAGGGCTGGCCAGGGCACAGGGCTGCTGAGAGGGAGGGGGGCTGCCAGGGGTCTAGCTGCCTCCCTCTGAGCCTGCCTCATGCACAGATGTTGATGATGATGGGCTTGCTGCTGCCCTTGGTGTACGCCATGAAGCGGCATAAGTGGTCAGTTCTGAAGAGCCGGAAACTGGCATATCGGCCGCCTAAGTGACCCTACCTGACACCTGCTGCTGTCCTGCCTGAGCAGACCCTTGTGCCCAGGAGCCAGCCTGGGCCTGGTTAGGCCTCAGCTGGGCCACCCATCCGGACCCCTCTGCCTCTGGGCCAGGAGGGAATGGCCGGAGACCAGGTTCTAGCTCTGGCTCCTCCTCCAGCCCCATCGTGGGAATAAATTAAGTTTCTCAACATGTAAACAGGAGCCCTTGTGTGAAAGGGGTCCATGGTTGGTGGGGACTGTGGGACCAGGGCCCTTACTCTGAGACCTCTGGGGCTTGTCTGACACACATGGGCAGCACTGCCCTGGACTTATGGGTAGCTGGGAGTCCAGAAGTGACAGAGCAAGTGTGGGACAAGGGCAGGGTGGTGGTGTGGAGAAGCAGGAGGCAGCACCTAGAACATCCCCTGGGCCTCTTGGTGGTCCTACTAGATGGAGGTGGCATTTTTCATGGATGACGCCTTCCAGCAGTCCACAAGGCCACTGGTGGCCAGTCCAGGACCGCCAGCCCAACAAGGGCTGAGTTTACACAGCAACGTGGAAGGGAGGACACCTGGCCTCTGAGCTCTTGTCCACAAAAGATAAAACACCTGCCTAAGCCTGTTAAGGGAGCTCTGGTGGCGTAGTGCCTAATGCATCTGACAGCTAACCTGAAGGCTGGCAGTTCAAACCCACCAGCCACTCCTCGGAAGGAAAACTGGGCCGTGGTATACCTCAGAAACCCAAGGAGGGGTCACTGAATCAAATCAATGAAAATGAGGTGGTTTTTTTTTTTTTTTTTTGAGCCCTGGTAAGTGAGGTCCTGGCTGGGCAGCAGGGCAGTGACACCCACTCCAGGGAGGACGTGGTGGAGAGAGAATGAGTAGTAGACTGGCCCCAGGCAGAGAAAGGGGGGTGGGCAGGTGCCTGAGTCCCCCCAGCAGACTGAGCCAGTCAGGGAGGGAAAGGATGTCCAACCCACATCCCAGCCTGTGACCAGCAGCCAGAGGGGGCCCTGCCCGGGCACTGGGCACCACTGGAACTTGGTTCAGAACCTCTTTGACATCCACCAGGGACCACTGAGGGGCTGTCATCTGTCGCTGAGCCCCCACCTCTTCCCAGGTGGTCTCAAGCCTCAGCTGCCCCATTCCCACTCCCGACTACAGCCCCGCCCACAAAGCACACCAAGGCACTGCTGGCTCAGAAGTGTCTTTAATGTCCCTGCTCGTGGGCCCTCCAGCCTGGCTCTGGCCACATGGCATGTGGCACGTCAGCAGAGGTCCGCCGAGAGACCTGGCAGGGAGTGGCTGTCCTCTCTCCTGGAGACCTGCAGGGAGGCAGAGGTCAGACCTGTGGGTTGCGCTTCCCTGCCTCCCTTCCCCTGCCCCGGTACCTGTGGTGGCTGCTGGGTGGAGGCTGCGGAAGGGGGATCCCAGGGCCTCTGGGTGCTACACATCTCGCAGCCAGGTCGGCTTGGGGCATTGATGAAGGTGCAGGAGGGGCAGGACCAGCCAGGCTGCGGGGGCACCACAGTTGCTGGCCCTGTCCTTCCAGGATCCCAGCAGCCCTGCCCCCACCCTGCCCTGTACCTGGCCCACCTTTAGGGGGCTGGGGTGCTGGGGGGCTCGGGGCAGCCCCAATGACTGGGGAAACAGGCGGCCCAGCTCCCCATCCATCTTCTGGGGGTGCTGAGGGCTGCGTCCTGTGGCAGAGAGGTGGGACTCAGGGCCAGCTCAGGCAGTGTCCTGCCTCCCTGAGCCACCCAGCCCAGCCAGGGGCTGACCTGAGACTTCTCGAGGGGCTGAGAGCAGGTACAGGAAGGCAGGGTCCCCATCGTGCCACACCCCGTAGGAGGCAAGGCTGCGCTCAGGCACACATAGGCACCGCCCAATGACCCAGCGCTGCACGGCTGGTGGGAAGCCGAACTCGGAGAACACCTGGGGCAGAGGGCAGCCAGGGTAGTGTCAGCCCCAGCCCCACCCCCACAGGCCCCCCAGAGACCGCACTTACCTGGTCCTGCAAGGCTGCCACGGTGCAGTGAGGGTGGACCTGCAGTGCAATGTGGGCAGAAGAGGCAGCGTCTTCAACGGTGACCTGCAGCCTGGGCCAGAAGGTGAGTCAGGGGGCAGGCCAGGGGGACCTGGAGGACCACTGAGAAGACCCAGGCTGGGCCTCACCTGATGGGGCCAGGCGGGAAGCAAGCCTCCTGGAGCCAGACACTGAGGGCCATCTGACGGTGGGCCAGGACGGCTGCCGTGTGCGCTGCACCCTTCTCGTCCCCACTCGTGATCGCCTGGGCCAGGCGCCTTGCCAACTCTTCTGTGAGGAGACAAATGCCACCATCCCAGCCAGGGACTTCCTGTTCCACCAGCCCCTCAGCCCTGCCCTTACCTTTCTCCATCAAGTCTCCAGGGCTCTGGGGAAGATCTACCTCAGGTCGGGTGGCACTGGGAAGGGAGACGGGGCCAGTCTCTGGGCCCAAGGCTGGGGGCAGGCTGCTGCTACCTAGAAGGAAGACGGGCAGGTGGCGCACTACCGAGGAGGGACAAGGAGTTGGGCTCCCAGCCCCCACGACCAGTCCCGGTGCTCCCTGGATCTGAGGCCCCTCACCCTGGCCCCTCTGTGCTTGGACCTCAGGCATCCAGAACCTTTGCCTCCATCCTCCACACGGACCCATGGCAGCACCCGCCTCAGCCACTTAAGCCGTGCTTCCTTGTCAGCCTTGGGCCTGTGACCCCTCGAAGGCCACTCCTGAGGCCTACAGGTGCTGGAGCATGTAGCTCGTCCTCAGGCCCAAGTCCTGCCTGTCCCCACCCTCTAGGCCACCTCTCCTGGCCCCAGGGGGCCCCCTCATTTCACAGCAAAGGCAAAGCAGGCTGCAAACAGATGCCTGCCCCAGGGTACGGTGGCACCAGGACTTCCAGCCTCTCCTGCTCCACCACCCGCACAAAGCAGTTCCCTCCACTAAGCCTTGTGGCTCACGGCCTACCCAACTGGCTCTGCAGAACTGATCATGCTGCTTCCTGTTGCCCTCTGCCGCTGTGGGGAGGAGTCCCCACGCAGCTCACACAGCTCCTCGTGGTGTCAGGTCACTGAGCTGTCTCCACGAAGACGGGGATACTACTCCTGTGAGCAGGGCCCCCCACCCGGTGCCACACATGCTGGGCCTTGCTTGCTCCCTGCACGTGCCACCTGGGAGCCTTGGTACCTGCTGCTTCCTTGGTCACGTGGTTCACACCATGACCTCCCAATCTCATCCGAACATTCTCGGGGATTCTGGCCACCCCTTTTTCTTTCACAGCTTTGCCAGCACCAGGATACTGGCTCCACCACCACCCACCAGGACTGACTTGTTTGCATGTCTGTTACCCATCCCCCAAAAAAAGGCAGGCTCCAGAATGGCAGGTGCAAGCTTGCTCTTGCTGACCCTCCAGGGCCTGGACGAGCACCTAACACGGAGCAGGAGCTGAACCATGCGAAAACGAACCCGTGAGGGCGGCTCCCCGCCCAAGCTGCTGAGTGCCTAGGTCTGGCTTGCATCCCCCTCCCCACTGCCCCAGGGACTTGCAGCACTCCCCGCTGCATTGTCCGTGTGGCCCCCCCTCTTGTTTTTCTCTACTGGTGACCTTGGCTGACCTCCTTCCCATCTTGACCTTTCCTGAACTTCAGCACTGGCCCAGATCCCAGAGCTTGGCCACTACCAGCTGCTCTCCCAGGCAGGCCCCTTTACCTGGAGTCCCAATGTTCCCGGTCCCTCCCAGGTGGGGCTCTACCTGGGCATCCTCCTGTCCCTGGTCCTTCTGTCCTCTCTTCCATTTAAACAGCCCTGAAATCCAGCCAATTCCATCTCCTAATGTCTCCAGTCTGTTGGTTTGTCCTACTGTGGTGACATGTAGATGGGAGTTTTGAGGCTGAGCCTGTGGTGTTTAAAACCCAGCGAGATGCACCTGGTGCACAGGTAACAGCCAAGCTTATAGACTGAGACAGACTAAGAAGAAGGAAGAGGCCATCCACTTCTCAAAGAATTGGCCAGGGAAAACCTTATGAATAGCA